TTCTTTCAAAGAGCAGAAGTATTGAAAAAGCAGCTTAAAAAAATCTTCCAAGACAAACAAGCCAAAGAGATGAATTCATCAAATACTTGTAGCCAGCTGAGCCTTGTCACACTGGAGCTGCTGGCATCTTATCTCACGGCTCAGTGCATAAACAGCACAGGCTTTCCAGGACCTCTCATTTCAGCCATTCCCTCTTTCTGATGGGCTCTTTGCCAGTGGTGATGCACCCTAACTTATAGGGTCCCAACTCAACATTAATGGGACTGCAAGAGTCAGCAGGGCAGAACTGATCCCTCTATCTCTACCCTCCCTGCATCATGTGGCGCCATTGCTGAAATAAGCCCAGCTTCCTAATGCCTATCATCTGCATTACCAAGAGATGGCCAGCTGTAGTTTTTGATTTGTAGCTTGCAATGCTTTTAGAGAAAAAAAAGGGAACCTGACCTGAAAGAATACACAACAGTTTGCTACTGGGACAAGAAGGAGCACTCAGACAGCTCTACTGCGTTTGCAAAATGAGAAAGTGGGTGCCAGAGTGAAGTGCTGCCAGAGCGAGTGCTGCATCTCAGAGAACATGCACTGAAAGGTTTCACCTACAGTTTATTTTATGAAAATGCCACCCACCTCCCCAGCCTCTGTATCAGCTTTCATAGAGGAGCGGAAATTACAAGGTGGGCTGAACTCACCGGTGGTTAAAGCTCCTCTCCACCCAGAAGGGATTGGGAGAGGCTGTTTTTTTGTCTATGCTTCAAGGACTCTACCAGCTGAGGGGAAATAGGAGGGGGAAACCAGGCTCCTGGGATGGACACATCTCATTTCACTGGGTCAGGTTCTGTTATCACCTCCCTTTTTTCTGCCCTGCCCTCCTGGGATCTGCTGGAGTGCTCTCAGCCTCACACCTGTGTGTACAATACTGGCTAATTAATTGGGCCAGGCTCACTTTATAACCTGGCAAATTGAGGGTATGACATTCCTGGCCTCTCTCCAGGATACATTGCTTTTCTTCTTCTGGCAGCTGGAGTACTGCTTTGACGTTTAAATGGTCTTGTGAGTGTGCAAGATGGCCCAGCCAAATTTCCTATTATACATTTCAGTCCTTGAGGTTTTGAATATCCATAATGATACTAAGTCACAACAAAGACAAAAATTCATGAGACAGTAATAATGAGGGGGCAGACTACTTGACTTAACAGACAAAGCTCTTCTTGAGCAACCCCAGTTTTATCTTGTCATTGAAAACCGTGCTCCAGAAACTAGAACTACGGAGTATCCCAGAAGCCCTGAACATTGACAAAGCCTGGGTCCAGATTTCATACCTAACCCATAACTTCTTTAGGGGGTTAAACTAGAACACTGCATCAGTTCTCAACACCCACGCACGGGAACTCTGAGGAAGTTTAGAACTCAACTCTGCACCTTGAGCATGTGATTACTGAGACATCATGTTTTGCTCAGAGTGGGAGTGATGGATCAGCTAAAATGGAGGCAGGTCTGCATTCATCTGCCACAAATCTCCCATCAAACCCATGAGATGCCACAGTTTTCCATCCACTCTGTAGTCATGCACTTCTTTGTTGCACTTTTTGCTTCCAGTCCAGAAATGAAAGATGTGAAATTCCATGTGAAATGCATTGTCACTTCTTTTTCCAACTATTTGAGTTGGTCTAATAAAAGATATCAGATTTACCCAAAGGACCAAGATATTGGATTCACCCAAAGAACCTTGTCTGCCTATGTCCTTAGAGCAACACGGATACAACCTACACCCCTGTCACTTCTTGACACCAGTAGGGAATGTGGTGCCCGACTTTTCCTCACTTTTCTGTGTTAAAGTTGAGTCTCCTCTGTAGCAGTGGCCGGGTGGAATTCTACTTCTAATGCCTCTGAATGATTCCAGAAGGATATGCTCAAATGACAGCTGAAACTCGCATGAAGGGCTATCCCTGCAGGAGATCTCAAAGTCCAGCTGGGCTCCTGCAATTCCTGCATCCTAGCCAGGACAAAAACCCTCCATTTGGAGCTCAGTTTATTTGTTAATGGATGTGTGCACCTCTGATCCGATCCTGGACTGATACCTAACACAAGACATTTAAAGTAGCCTCATGTATGTATCCAACTTCCCTGCCTGTAAAAAATTCTTTTGAAAATCCAGCCTGTGATTGACTTGTAAGAAAGAAAAATAAAATAAAATCCCCAAAATTGCAGGCCTCCTATGGATTATTTCATGTTTCAGGCTTGGAAATAGATGGACCAATTTAAACAATTTTTTTTAACGTAGGCTTTGTGAGCCAAGATTAAGTCCAGATCACATTCTTGTTTCTAGGTCATTAATCTTTCCAAAACAAAGTTTACAATGGAAATTCTGTAAGACCCTCAACTAAAAAAAGGTCTTAAAAGATCTTCATGGGTTTTTTTTCTTTCTTTCTTTTACTAAATGAACTATGCTTACCTCTTCTTCTGAAAGACAGATTTCCAGTGGAGTATAAGGGAAGTGTTTGGGACTTTGGTCACTTTAGGATTTAGGCTCCTAAATCCCAACTACTGCTGTTACTCAGAGCACTCAGTAAATTTGCGCAGTTTCATGAGTGCCTAGGAAACTGTGGATGATAGAAGTTACTGCAACATTTATACCCTGACAACAAAGTAAACCAGACTCAACACAGAGCAAATTTACATGTTCTAATTTAATCCATTCCTTGCATTTTCTCCCACTGAACTACGAAGTCTGCCACAACGTTTCAAGGGTTAGACAATGCAGGGAAAAAAAGATGAACATGAGGAGTAAAATAGCTTGTATAGGGCTGCCAGTGTAGGAGGTCCACCAACTTCCACTCACACTAGAGGAGTTAGGCGGATATATATCCATGAGTGATATAAATCAGCCCTTAATGATCAAAGCAAAATCAATTGAGTCAGTCCCAATGACAAATTTCCGTTGCAAGTGCAAACAAGTACGTGTCCAGATTTGGGCTGGGATGACCAGTTCTGAAAGCACACAGCTAGAAGCTCAAAGGCTGTTTCAGCTCTATTATATACACTTCTCTGTTGTCATAATTAAAAAAACCCCAAAAAACTAGCTCTGGCCAAGAGAGGTAAGACAAGCAATGTCCTGTACTGCTGCAGTACAGGACTTATTTGCATCTTTCCAAAACCGACTGAGAAGCAGACTAAGCCCGTCAACACGTATGCCTCTTACCCCTCATCTCCTGAATACTTTCCTCATTTTCCATCTATGAAACATTGTAGCAGATTTCACACTTTCAGTGGACAAAATGCAAGGAATGGCTTCAGTTACATAATACATCAAGTTCTGCCTCTGCCCACATGCAGTCAAAGGAGCTGCACTAATTGACATTGGCTAATGAGCTGGTCCTGTGTTTCAGTAATCAGAGCCACAAGACCAGAAAAGTGCTAAAGATGACACAACTAGAAGCACAACCTCCATCTTTTAAGGATGCAATACATTCAGCAACCGCTTGGTAACATTTTATTACCAAGGTAGGTCAGCCAGGTACATTGGAATGGCCTCTCCCCAGTTTTGCTAGCTTTAACCTGAATACCCCAAGACATGAAATGGCTGCTGTGAGCACCAATTTCTAAATGAAACCTCGATTTTTTAGCTCTCTCTCTCAACAAACTGAAGCTTCTGTTAAGCAATGGCCCTGAGAACTGGGCATCCGTGTGCCAAACACTGAGCTGTCATTAGAAGTGAGGGAGGGGCAGAAGATATAAAGATGAGAGGAGTTTTGGGTACAGTTAGGACATTGTTTCAAATCTAAGGCCCTTCTTTCTTTCCTGCCATCTACAAAGAGCTATAGTGATTTGCTATGGAGGAAATATTTACTTCAGCCTTTATAAATGTCCCATAGCTTCTTTGCAAAATAAGAGAAGGAAATCTCATGCAGGACATCTCACTGCGGGCTTCTGTCACCTCCTGCTGCAGCTCTGAAAATGTCTTGCAGTCTTTGAAGTGAATGAAACTACATGAAGGCCAGGGGTTATTGCCTCAGCATTTGCAGGACTGAGGCCTTTGCAGCCTTCTTTAAAGTGATGCAGCATTCAAAAATATGATATGCAGTGTCATGTTTGTCATTTACAGAATTAATAAACCAACTAAATGAATATACATTTTCCTTTTAACTTCAACATATTTCAATTCTGTTGATTTCTAGCTGATTCTGATCACCTTATCTTGTAGTTTCCCAACAAACTGAAGAAAACCAACATTTTAAATCATATTTTTTTCTCATGTATTATTTTCATCTAGTGTATTTAACCCAATAAATCTAAGGCTTTAAATGTTCACAGCTCCTCTGCATGAAGCTTCATGCAGAAGGAGTGACACTAAGGCAAAAGCTTAATGCTTTTATCTTAAGAGAAAACTTTTCTTTGTCCCCTCGAAAAGGAATGGGAAGTTCAGTTCTCACAGTCTGTAGCTTGGCAGCAGGAATTTAGCTGGTGTAAACTGACACAGTGACAATTTATATAGGATGAGCATTGGCCCTGACTGTATACTGCAAATGTAAATCTGAAAGTGGAGTTGTACAGTCCATGTTGATTGTATTTGGGCATTGCCTCATATGACAAAGTGGAAAAGTTGGTGGGACTGTGTGCATGAACATGTATATGCATGCATGCACACACACACTTTCACCCGGGCAGCAAAAGGCACTTGGAAGGAAATGGCAACTCAACCTGAAATAAAAAGGCCTTTGTAAGCTCCAGATCAATAAGCCTTCATGTCAGCTCTGAAAACACTCATATTAATGGTATCTCCAAACAATCTTGTCAATTGTTGAGCAGGTTTAAGATGAAATGATACAAGAGGCAGTTTTTTCCCCTAATCTAGTACAGCAGCATTTGTGGACCAGAGCTGAGCAGTTTTGGCAGCTACATGTTGTATAACTTGGCCTTTCACTTGTGCCACACAGAAACATGGTTCAATTCTGTTTGCCAGATAAGTTAAAACATCAAAATCAAAGCAAGTCGAAACAACTTACACAGTGTGTGCTGGAGATGATGACAGAGCTCGAGATGAAACTGAGGCCATCATTCATGCTCACCTGAAGAGCTGCTTCCCTGAAAAAAAAACCCAACACAGAACAACAAATTTGCCACCCTGGATCAGACACAATGATTCCTCCTTGAACCTAGAATCCTCAAGCTGGGCAGGGGCCTGGGAAAAAGATTGTTCTTATATTTTGCATGCAGCACGCCTCCACCCAAAGCAGAAATCCCGTAACCCAAAAGGAAAAAGAAGGCAGAACACTCCATAGACTCCATCTGGGACCTTCCTGTTGGCCTTTCCAATGCAAGCAAACAGAGGACAGATACTATGGTGATGGGCTGCGACACAAAACCTCTAAAGGGGAAAACCTGCCTGTCCCCTCTCACTATGGTGATGCTTCTATAGGGGAAGCAGTGGGGAATGGACAGTAGAATACAAAAAGACAGATATGGGTTTTATTACATTTTATGAGCTCTTAAAGTGGATCAACAGGCTAGATATACAGGGCAAGAAAAGTCTGCAGATCATTCTGGATTTCTGCAATGCTCCTTTATCAATGAGCCCTTAATCTTTCAATTAACAGTGTACAAAAAAGATGAGCAGGTGCAACACCTGGTTGGTATTTTTTTTAAAGGTTGCTCTTAAACCAGGTGTTTCTTCCCTTCCAACCAACTCCCAGCTCCACAAAACCAGCAGATTTAAATAAATCCTCTTTTTTTTTTTTTTTTTTTTAATTCCATGAAAAGTCATAAGAGTTTGTCTTGCTCACATCCTGCATCCCTAGCTTTAGGTGGTTGAGACAATTTCAAAGGGAGCTTCTAAATCTACTTATGCTTTGTCACTAAAACAAGATGTAGCCAGTTCTTGCACCAGAATGTGTGCCATGACCAAGTATTGATCTGTGCTGACCAGTGATGGTGAAAAACATTCTGGACAGACAAACATGCTGTGGTTCGGGGGGAGGGGGAGGGGCTGGTGCAATGTGTGGACTAGAAACTGTGGCCAAGATGAACAAAGAACATAGGAATGGATGTTAATAGAAACCAGACAAATCAGTATTTTTCACTGGTGAGCATCTATAACACAGGGCTGTGATACCCTGGAGTGCAGGGCCATATTAGCACTGTTAGGTGTGCAAACACCTACACACGAATTGCACAATAAAACCAGAGATTCCACTGGATCAAAAAGATTCTGACCTACTGTGATCTTTCTGAATTCTTTGAAACAGAAGAATTGCTTTCTTATTTTTCCACAGTCAAGAAATGAATAAAAGCAAAGAGCTGGCATTTTTCAAGAGATGCCTTCAGTCTAATGAGGGGTGCCTTGAATCTGAAAAGGTTGAGAACCCCGATTCATAAGAACTTACATTCCAACTTCTTGTAACACAGGTGCCGGGCAGAGCAAATATGTATCTTCCACCACAAAAGGTTTCTCATCTGGAAAAGAGAGAAAATAGGATGAGTTTGGCTCGGTGTGATTTGAAGGTTAGGATTGCATCGCTGGTTAAAACGTCAGCACTCTCACTCGTGGCATGTTAACTTTAGTGTGATTTTAATCTGTGATCTGCCAGAACATTTATGCTCTTTTCCTGGGTGTGCTGTGCTCTTCCTATGTAAAAACCTGTGTCAAAACTCTTCATTTAGTGTTCCATTTTTTTTTTTATTTGCACATGGATGTCTGGTGCCTCTTGAGTCAGCGACCCGGGGGCCAATCCTGCTCCCCAGCTGGCACTCGCAGGGTGCTCCCGCCTGCCCCCCTGCCCTCTGGCTGCACAGGGAGCACAGCCTGACAAGGGGTGCACTGGCACTCTCAGGGGGTGCACCCCCTATGTGTAGCCCCTGATTTGCATAACAGCAATAATATTATATGCATGCTGGTCCTCTTAATTAATTGAGCCTCAAAACTCCTTTAAGACTGGAAAATATTATTACTCCTGTAGTACAAATGGATCAACTGAAACACAGGAAAATAAAGAAATCTGCTACAGGTTTTCCGAGATTGCCTATGTTCTGTGCAGTGCTCTCTCCGCTGTCAGTTATGCCGTGCAGTCCTCTCAGCTGCACTATCACTGGAGATATGCAAACCTTGAGATTTCCAGGACTACTTGCCTCTAACCACTTCAAAAACATTTAAAAAAATTCAGTTACTTGGGAAACTAAGGATCCCACAAAGTTCAGTAGCTTGCTGAACTGAACACTTGGCTGCCTGACTGATGGGCATGATTGGCAGCAAATCTAAACACCAGCGGGCAGGCTGGTTTTCCAAAGAAAATTTGATGCAAGTGACACATTTTTAAGGAAAGTTGTGATTTGGTTGAATCCAATTGAAATGACTTCATCTGACAATGTTCGACAGGTTGCAGTGTGAATTATGATTTATAAATGTCTCCAGCATCTTCTATAGATATGGTTACAACAATTTATAACTAGAGCTGGTAAAAATAAAACCATACATTTCTCTATTTGGTTTGAAAAGTTCGGTGGAATTTTTCACTTTTAGTTTCCCCTCAGTCATCTCCTTTCCTCTTCTTCCACTGGAGAAGATGGGCAAGGAGAAGAAAAGGAGAGAAAACAAACCTTCCCAAACTGAAAAAGTTGGGGTCTATTTTTGGGGGGGAGTGGGGACGGGACCAAAAATATATAACCCAAAATAAATATGAAACCCCCAAAATAACAACCTAAAGATTAAGAATTTGGGTTTAAACCCCATTTTGTGTTAAAAGTATTTTGTGAAAACCATTCAAACACCTGAAGCACTAACATATAACACTCATGTCTGTAACATGTTTAGAATGCCAATTAAACACAGAGGAAGTCTTTACCTATTTATAGGTGCATCCCTGACTATTTATTGTATCTGATTTGCCATGATTATCCTTCTCTAGTGGGTTGTTCACTTGGGTAGCCCAGCAAAATGGACCGTTATGAAATTATGCTAGGGATATTCTAAGACATGATCACTGGGACCCCTTCAGCCTGACGCCACACTACTGAGCGCTTCTTGCATTCCCAGGACAAGACAACAGAAAAAACAGAAGCCAGATTAACACAATGAATCCATGTTTGTTGTACTTCAGCAGCATCTGCCCATGATAGAAGAGGAATGGGTCATAGATAACCAACTTGCTGCAGAATACCCCAAACGCCTGATTTATATTCAAGTTGCTTTGTGCTTCTGTGGCTTTGTAAAGGGGCCTTCAAGTAGGAATTAATCACATTTACACTCAGTCTGAAGCCCCTTTGCATCTACCAGTGTCAGGGGGTCTTAACATGAATGAAAATTCAGGTCCAAGGTCTGAGTTAGAGTTTTTCCCCCTATTCTGGCAGTGCGAATGGATGGCATCTGGTTCTAAATGAAACCCGAGTCTTTCTCCAAATCGTAGCTGTTGGCTGATACAAACTGACAGATCCAGGTCCTGTGCCAATGACTCTATGTTGACATACCAAGGCCTTAAGCAAGACAGAAGGTAGATTCTCAGTGCAGAAGTCCCTCTTGCAGTGCACAGCAGGACTCTTCTCCATGACAGCAATATATCATTCAAAATTTACAACAAACTGGCTTGCCTCCACGCCCCATACCAGGCAGGTCCTAAATACATAGCAAGATGCCCAAAAGTCAAGTGATTCCCATTATCATGCAATTTCATTAAGTACAGTTTGGATTGAAAATTGATGTGGTGCCATCTTGTTTGTTATATAAAGAAGGAAAAATGAAAAGCAGGAGACTTTACTCCCGGAGGGGTTCTCTCAATAACAGCTACTTTATTTCTCAGGGCACGTGTCATGTGAGCACCTGGAAGCCAGATTTACAGTAGTGTTCAACATCTACTGAAAGCAGCTCACAATAACAGGAATGGGTATGAATGGAGCAGATCTAAAAATCTGGCCACTTCTTTTCCAAGGTGAGATGGGAGCTGACCTCCCCTGAGTTTTTGGCGCTCTATTTTTAGGGATTTGGCTTCAATTGATATGCCATTATCAAAAAGGAGGAAGCTTGAAGGAGGTCCAAAGCTTAAAAGGACACCATGAATTTCTTAGAAGAAATCTACTCTTCAACTTCAGAACTTTTACAACATTTAAGTGGCTATTGAGCAGCTGCTGCTTAGCACAGATCAACCCACAGGAGCAAGAGAGCCCTCTATGAAATACTGAGTTTTCCCCAATGGGTCAGAAGCAGCACTTCTGCAGATATAAGGAAGGCCAGGATGTTGTGCTACAAGGGACAAGGTTCTGAGAAAGTGGGCAGAGTGAGATCACAGGCTCTGCAGATGGCTGTAAAAAACACCCTGGGGACGGGAGAGAATTTTCTCGGTGTCATTTCGAAAGCAGCATCTCTCATTGAAGATAAATATTTGTTTTGCAATACAACATTAGTTTCTCCAGAATGTGCCTTGCTCATATATATTTCATGAGCACGTTTCCCTGCTTTGGCAGCAGAATAAGAGAAACATTTCTAAAGTAATTTGGGAAGTTATCTTTTCTTTCTATTCCCATGAAATACTTTAATGATAATGGAAAAGATTAGCTTCTGTTGAAAATTTCCCCAGAAGTTTTCATTCATGGTTTTGAGTTTTCAGCTTTCTGAGGAAAACGAGGCCAAAATGTGACATTTTCCAGGGAAGTTTCCATGTTGATGGAAAAGACATTTTTTCTTGCCCAAAGTAAAAGTAAATTAAAATGGCAATGGAGGGCTTGGGTTTAGGGTACACAGCTCAGTTGATGAGAGCTGACTTCACTCTGGGTTTGTTGGTTCTTCCCTTACACAGTAGAGCAGTATGATGGATGCTCTATATTAGGTGAGGGATTGTAACAAGGCAGAGAGAGAACTTAAGAACATTTCCTGATCTGAGGGAACCTTTCACAGCGGTTCGCATCATCCATTCTGTGCAGGCTCCAAGGGCGCCCATACATGTGGCGGGGGTTTAGCTTTTCAGGGTTCCATTCTATGTCCCCTAACTTGAAATGGTGAGTTTTTAATTTAAACAGTGTGTTTTATTTTTCTGACACTATATGCATGTCATTGTCCTGGTGGCCGCAGGCACCTGCTGAAAACAGAAGTGGCAAGGGGCTTGATCCTCCCCACTTCCACCCTGGTAGAGCCTGCTTACCTCTCCTGTGGCCAGGGGGGGCAAGCTGCCGGGGGGCCAAGCAGCTCCTGAGCTGCGGAGAGCTCCAGTCCTCCTTTCTGCAGCAGTGGTGCCCCCAGGGCCACCTAGGTGGGCTGCTAGTGGGCTGGGTGCTGCCCCAGCTCAGAGGCGCCCGCTCCAACTCTTCTCCGAGCTGGTCTGGGCTTCCAGCACCCCATGCTCCATCCCTGGCACCTCCTTTGGCCACCAGCACACCCAGCCACCCTCCGGCCACCTCCCCACGCTGCCCCAGGGCAAGCCATCTTGTTCCCAGGCATCTCAGGTGTCCTGGCGGCCACAGACGCCTACTGAAGTTGGAAGCAGCGAGGGGCCTGATCCTTTTTTTTGGCAGGCCTGCCCACCTCTCCCACAGGCGGGGAGGTGACCTGACAGATTAATGGCTGCAACATTCCAAGCTGCAACACTGCAAACTAAACTACATCGGGATGTGGCATAGTTTGTGACGATGCTAACTTATTTAAAACCCCAAAACTCACATACACGTAGTGTGACGCCATTAAATCACACAAAGGGAAGTTGTCATCACATGTACATAGTAACACTGTCAAATGTACAAATGCCCCAAGGCACCAAAGTATTCTTCACAGACCTTTCAGTCCTGTCGAAGACTGTTTGATGCCACTGGAAGGTATATCAAATTGAGGCTTAAAGCTGTTTACATTTGCCACTACTGCAAGCATTCACAGGTTTGCCAAGGGGCTGATAAAAACAGCAGCACCTCACACCCCTTGGCACAACTGTAAAAGGCTTCACAAGGTGCAAGTCAGTGGAAAGCAAGGTGCTAAGACTGCAAAGACCCTGGCTAGCCAGATTCACCCTTACTTACATAGGGATAAATCCGCTGAAACTCCAGAGGAGTTTAAGGAGTCACACCAATGCACGTGTGACAAGAGAATCAGCCCCCACCATCTCAATTACTTCCTTCCTGTAGTAACAGCAAGCTAAAGGCCAAAGGACATTTGCTGTTCCAATCTGCAAAGCACCAAAAGCCAGTTTTATTTTGCAAGGCTTTTTGCTTAGAATATTTAATAAGCTTTTTTGCCCCCGCCCCACTCTTCAGAACCAAAATTAAATCTACTCTTCCCCAGAAAGTTTATCAGCTTCATAGTCCCATGGGTCTGTTGTACCTCAGAGCTGGCCAGTTTGGCTTCAGAGAGGGATTATTTTGTTTGGAGAATGTTTTGGTTCACCACAAAAATGAGTGACAACTTTTCTTTGCTCTAAACAAAAGAAGATCCATTTGGTTTGCATAACTCTAGCCATCTGACTCCTTCCTGGAAAACTACATTG